ATTGACGAAATATTGTACAATAGCCGATATTAACGGCTATTGTAATTAGTGAAGTTTACTCAACATTGTTTTGTAATTGGAGGTCCATAACAGAAAGTTGCATAGCATTAGTACCTACCAATTAAAAAGTAAAATTATATTTTTAAGCTTTGGGGGCGGTCTAGTTCCTTTAAACCTTTACTATTAATACGTTACTGATTGTAATATGTAATCTAGTGAACATAATTTGGAATTGTAATTTTTTTTTAATGGTGGCATAATTATTTATTTAGTTGGTCCCTGTTTTGCATAATAATGCATAATTATGGCCTTGCATTATATTGATTATATTAAATTACCCTCTATACCCTACGTACATTCCCAAATTTTCACTTACAGCTGTAGTCCATCCAATATGCGAAGTACCTTTGTCCGTAATTTCTTTTTCATTTGTCCATTAACTTAGCTAGTTTAAGTTTTTCTAATTCATTTTTATACATCAATGTAAGTCAAATAAGACAAATTAATTTTTTCGAATTTTCAAATTTAATATTCATTATTTATATTATTTAGCCGGAACGTATGTCTAAAAATACTATTAAACGGCCAGGTAATTGCAGTGGGAATGCAGTTTCAAATTTAATTAGCATTTTAAATTAGATAAAATCATTAAAAAATATATTTTGTATAATTAATGGTTAAGTTGAAAATGTAAATTATATTATTAATATCAATATAATACTAATGATATGTAAAATATAGAACAAAACATAGTTAAAAAATTAATAAAAAAAATCACTCATTCAGATAATACAATATATCATTAGAGCACAGAATACAGCGCTATCTTGTAACCTTGTACACGTTCACATTCTAATAAAATTGACCACAAGAGCGCACTGCATGATAGTAAAATCACAAAGACTGTTTCACTAAACTTATCACGATCGACGATGGTAACTAAACAACGATAATATTTTTTAATCAATAGATGAAGTAAATGTAAGACAACAAATCAAACAATAACATCCCAAATAAAATTAAAAAAGGTCACCTGATTTCTTTTGATTAAAACAGTATTTCTGGTAGAAAACTTTGTACGCAAAAATTAAAAAAAATGAAATTGTCACTGTAATGTCGCTGTGTGCTGTAAATATTTGTCATTTTTCCTATAATTTTATTTCCGCTTTTTCAGTTTTTTCAATTTTATTAATTTTTAACCCCGGAATTTATAAATTCGTTTATAAATATACGTAGACTTGAAACTTGGTAAAAATACTTATATTGGTCTTAATTAGACGTGGTAAAATTTCCAAAATGATCGAACGACTTTTTTTTAATAAGCCTTTTAAAATCAAATATAAATGAAAATTACGGCACTTCAAATTATGTTTTACCGAACTGCGCTCGGAATCGTCTTTCGTCAAGCAATGGTTTATCGTTGCTTACAGATATAAATGAAATAACCTTATGTACCCTACAATTCCAACTTCTCACTTACAACAGTGGCCGCTTCCATATCCAGTATCAGCTATTTTTTTTTTTTTTTTATGTGAACACTTTTTCTACTAGAAGGGTTGCTTCGATGTATACGATGTAGATCCCTTTTCTGAAAGGAAAAGGGGTGTTACATTAAGGGGGTAATTTTTCGATTTTCCCAAGTGTTTTCCCTGCAAATGTGAAAACCGGGAGAAACGTAGAAAAAACGAGAAAATTGGTACAATATTAAACAAATATTATTAAAGAAAATATATAATTAAATAGGAGCGGCTTTTTGCTTGCGTAAGGATAGATTACGCAGGTCCCCTACAAATGCGTGAGCTCCGGCTACGTAAGTCCCGGATGTATAAGATATATCGCGGTGTTTATATGTTTCGCAGTAAAAGCCGTCCATCTCGAAGTGGTGTCGGACCTGTCTACCGATGCGTTCCTGGTCGCTTTTGGCTGCTTCGTCGCCCGCCGCGGCCTACCTAGCGACGTCTATTCTGGTTGTGGGACGAATTTCGTGGGAGCGGACAAGCAATTGCGTTCTTAAATCCTATGCCCCGGAAGTCAGGCAGCCGTTGGAAACTCACGCGCGTTATTGATAATGACATGTAATTTCCATTTCAAGAAACTACGGTGGGACCACTATCAATTTCCATCCCAGTGAAGAATCATGAGAAGTACATCATCGATTGACAGTTTATATTCTTTATGAATATTCTTTGCACGTTCTTTTCAAAAAAGTTAACGTGTAGTTCAAATCCATGTTCCATTTTTAATTTATTTATTTATTAACCTCCTTGTCTAGTCATTAGAACTAAAATGTGGCCACTAGACAGTACCTCTGTAGACTCTGTCACTAAGTAATCTCCAAATATTTTACCAACGGTGTAATGTGCTCTTTTAATATAATATAAATTTAGTGGTGAGCATCGGCATAAACCGATATCGAATATTCATTACCGATTATCGGTTTTTTTTTCAATACCGATATTGGACCCGATATTTTCGAGACAAATTTTTTTTTTTTAAACATTTATTTTCTTTAAATGCCTAATTTCGATAATAATATTAAAATAACAAAAAATTATTCAAACTTCAAACATTAAAAGTTAATTGCTGTTTAGCAGAGAGCGCTACCGTCCAATCGGATTGATTGTCAGCACATTCGTGACTGTGTTGAATAGCAATTGTTCAATTAACATGAACAATAATTTTGGTAAATGTCGGATATCGGGGTGTTGAATACATATATTAATATTAATGTTAATCTCAATGTCGGCTCACAGGATTTGATTTCAAATATCGGATCGGTTATCGATTTTATATCGGTGGAAAATATTTGACTATCAGATATCGGAAAAAAATATAATATCGGTTCACTATTAAATATATAATATATATAGTATAATATATACGAAAGGAGTAGGGAAAAAACCAAAAAAATCACTTTTTCTTTTGAGAAAAACATGTTTTGAAAGCCGTAATATTTACGGTTTTCGCCTCGATTCTAAAACTATTATAAGAAAAAAATTACTACGTTACGTTTAATTGAAGCGAGGAATTGTATTGGTTTCACAATGATGTTTATTTAAATTTTTTTTTATCTATAAATAATTTTCTACCAGCAATTTTGCTCCGATTTACGATGATACTTTTTCTGAAAGGAAATCTGACTGGTTTGGAATCTGTAGGAAAAACGGTTAAATATTAAATAATATTAAACATATATTATTAAAGAAAATATATAACGCATATATGTAATTGTTTTACTTCAATATGACATATATATTGCTGACAAAGCAACACTACTAATCAAACTCTGCTCAGAATCGGTTTTTTGTTGGCAATGGTTAATCGTTGCGTACAGATATTAAACAGGAATTTAATTTCTCTTCTACCGTTTCAATTTCTCTCCTACAACAGTGGCCCACCCACGTACTAAATATTTTTGTCTTTTTTTTGTATTTTTAAGAACATATTTTCTACCAGAAATCTTATTCAGAGGTATACATTCAGAGGTACAGCATTTTTTCTGAAAGTTAATTTTGTCAAGTTAATACTATATATTAAACGAATTTTGTTTTTTGACCACTAAGTACGACTTATATAATAAATCTCCTGTCAAATTTTCAAGCATTTCTGTTTAATCTGACAATTGTATTCACAGATTACCTATTAAATAAAAATTACGTAAAAAGTCACGAAATTAAAATGTCTGTAAATAATTCAAAAATGGCTCAAATATTTTAAAAATTTAACCACGTCTATTAAAAGCAAATTTAAGTTTTGTGTCAAAAATTTAAGTCTCCACAAATATTTTAAATTGAATTACATTAAAAAAACATCATTTCAAATAATAAAAAATGTATTTTTATAATATTCGTTTTTTTGGGGGGTTTTTCACAATTATTATAAAAAACATTTTAGATATCAAAAAACTCTCTTTGTCGGTAGCTATATTATATTAAAAAGAAAAAAAAATCGATATTTTTGGTGCTAGATTTCTGGTAGAAGACATCGTATCTATCTATATAAATTTAAAATAAAAAAATCGATAAAGCCGTGGCAGCGGTGACCCGTAAATTATTTGTTTTCGGTTTTTTCCCAATTATTTTGAAAACCCCTTAAAAAATCAAAAAATGACTGCCCAATACACCAACTAGATAAAATTAATTTTCTGAAAAAGTTATATTTTGTTCAAACTCTCGGGTCACACAGTATAAGATTTTTTTTTTGGGAGGGAGATGTAAAAAAAATACAATTCAATTTGGAAAAAACAAACTTATAAATCATTTGGGGGGCTTGAATCATCGCCCTCCTTGAGTGGGTCGTTAACAAAAACTGTATTTCGGTGAAAATACAGAGTCCGAACTTTGCAAATCCGAATATTCCAATTATAGATTTCAAAATTCGAATTTTCGATTATTTTTCTAAATATCCATTAAATATACGTTTGTGTTTTCCACAGGTATTTAAAAAAAGTGTAATAAATAATGGTTTTTACAGCCAAAAAAATAAAGAAATAAATTTAAAAAAGCTGTTTTAGGATAATGGGGATGGATGCAGTTACTGTTGTAAGTGAGAAGTTGGGAAGGTAGGATATAGACGAGAATATAATGTATATTTGTCAGCAACGATTAACCGTTGTCAACGAAAAAACGATTCTGAGCGGAGTTCAATTGATAGTGTTTCTTTGTCAACAATATACATGTCATATTATTACATGGTTAAATAGTATACGCATTAAACATTTTCTTTATTAATATTTATTTAATGTTGTACCTATTTTCCGGTTTTTCCCGGTTTTCACATTTATTGGGAAAACTCCGGGGAAAATCAAAAAATTGATCTCCTTAAAGTACCAAACTCCCCCCCCCCCCCGGTCAGATTTTCTTTTAAGAAACGCGCTATCATTGTAAATCGGAACGAAATTGCGGTAAAAAAGTTGTTCACTGGAAAACACAAATAAATATCATTGTAAAACCCAATAGATCCCTCGCTCCATCCAGAATCCAAACATTTCCGAAATCCGGATGTCGAATACATTTTCGATTTCGGATTCCGAAAATCCGGGTTACCGGTTAACGCCGGTACGTCCGGCGGCGTTTTCCGCATCGCCCCTAGACAGCGCCCCGTTTGAACGAACCCGCGGGTTGCCGAGAGGAATCGGCTCACGCGCGCCGGGACGACTCTCGCGAACGCCGCCGCGGATACGATATCATCGCGCCGCGGTATTTAATATACGCCGTTCGATCGGGTGTTGTAATGTTATTGTTGTGCGCATTGTTACTACAACGGGCGGCGGGACGGGTGGGCGGGTGGGCGCGCGCGCGCGAGTGTGCGCCGCAGGTACGCGCGGACGGGCGGTCACTCACTACCGAAACCGTAATACAGTATTATTATTATTATTATTATAGGCGTACGTGCGGACCGCGGCGGAACGGGGATAGAGGGAATGGCGCGTGCCGTTCGGCTTTGCAAAACGCGGCGGCGGCGGCTCGTGTACTCTGCAGAAACTCCGGGCGAGCTATCGTTGACACCCGCCGCCGCTGCCGACTGCGATCGCGACGGCGGTGACGACAATCCCCCGCCGCGGTCGCCATGGTAACGTTACCGCCGCAGCCGCCGCGTTCCGGCCACTGCGAAACCCGCCGCCGGGCCGTCGAAAGTTTTCGGCGTGGGACGGCCCGGGGATTATACGCGCGCGCGGAGACCGCTTATATATACGTATACGATATTTTATAAATATACCGGTGACGTAACGATGGTGCGTGTGTGCGCGAGCGGAAAGAGTGAGAGAGGGGCGATGGGGGAGGGGGGAGGGGCACTCGACGGTATCGGCCGCGGCGGCTCGTTATCCGTTTCCCGGGCGAGCCTATAAAAACTGCAGATTCCGGGGTGACGTTCGGAAATCGCGCGCGCGGCACCGGGGTACACCCGTTTGCCGCAGGAGTCGCGGGAAAACAAAAAGCCGAAACGCCCGACGGGTTCGGTCAGATAAAACCCGAAAACAGAACGGGTACTATACAATATTTCCGGGAAAATGATATCGTATAATAATGCGCGTCGCGGGTTTCTCTTTTCCTCGGCATCGGACGATTTATTTATTAATCGTGACACGCTCGAACGAATTTTAAAATTCTCTCGCGAGTAACTATTGGATTCAGTGGCGTCGAATCATACGCTAAGGTCGAACCTTAGCCAGACTCCTTTTAAAAATCAAGCATAGAGCTGCTTCATTTTGGGCCAAAATTAGTTGCCAAACTGAATGAATACTTTATTACAGAAATAAATCCTACGCTAACTTTAATTTTGGGAATTAAATTGGCTGTGTTTAGTTATCGGGGCCTCTTAAAATGTATTTTCCCTGATTAAATTTTTAGGACTTCAATGCCACTGATTCAAATTGACGATTCGATCCGATATTTTCATCTTTTATTCCGACACGTCATATCCGCAGTAGGCTCTCCTTAAAATTTAAAAATTGGTTAGAGTTCTTTTTTTCTCATCCAAAACGTTTCGTAATAATCGAATACGTCGTAGTAATTGTGTTTGACTTAAGTCCGAGGAGGGGGGGGGCAAATATCGAAACACGAATTTCTTGTCTCAATTTTCTACATTTTGGTCGTTTATAGAATAACTAAAAACTAATAAAACAAAATTGGTATTCAGATAACATTTACTAGGATAGTACGGACCCATAAAATAATTTTTTTTATCACCGATTTTTACCTCTATTTATATGAAACGTTTAAAAACGTAACGTTCAATATTATTCTCAGAAATACATTTTGCTGGAAGACTTTTTGTCAGTTTCACGATCAAATCGATTTGAACATAATAAATGTATATTACGCACAAATAAAACCTAATGATTTTTAGTGCCAAATTAACTAAATTAGACCCATTTCTAATATACTATTATATTTTCGTCTATAAAATAATATAGGTCAGAAACAGGATTTCTTTGTGTTCTACAAACTAAAATGTTATAATATTATAGGTATTATTTTACTGTCTATACTAAGTCGATTATGTATATTATTATGTGTATAATATTTAGTGCAATCATCTACTACGCATTAAATAAAATATATTATATATAATTTTTCGCAAAATTCAGTCTCTTGGGGCACATCGAAATCATTGTCTACGTGGCACACCAAAGCATTTCTGTAAGATTTGTTTTAAGGTTTCCCATTTTTCATCACAAATTCAAAGGCCGTGAAAATCAGTGCGATGTTGGATTGGGAGTTGGTGTTGAGGGTCAATAATATCTCTAAAAGTAACAATGGATTTCGTGGCGACATATTATATTCACAAAAGTGATTTTCAACTTCAGTTTTCAGTAATTTGCGCATAAAATTACTCGTTCGCGTGATTATTAATAATAATTAATGAATTATTATATTTTATTATTCTACTGCAGTCTGCATTAGTCAACTTATATTTAAACAATATTATGTAGGAATGTTTAATCTCTGGACAAAAATCAGTCAGTTGTTAAATGACGATATTTTATAAATCTTGGGAGCTAAAGAGCCCCTGGACTCAAATACGACTGAGGGTCACAGCCGCGGCCATAGCTATTTAGATCAGCTGCGAGCACGGTCAACTAAATTAAATATCAATTTAAAGTAATAAAATGTCTGGGCTTTAACCCGTACAGCCGTCCTACGTGATTCCTTAACTATGACGGTTTAATTATTTTAAATTAACATCCCCCACTACTCTGTCCTTTGAGCCGTCACGGTGAGGACACTTTTAAGGAAAAGAATTGACGATAATACAGGAAGTGATAATTTGAAACGGGGAAAGACCGGTAGAATTATCAACATTTCCCCTGGTTGTTTTTATAAGAAGTCCGACCCCAGTTCATCACAGCGTTTGGCTTTTTAATTTTATTTTCTGCGCTAAAATATTACATTATTTTATCACCGAATTATAGTCGTGCTATGTTGATACGCATATCACGAAAATACTAATAAATAAAACGGACATACTTTGTACCACGGGGTGGTAGGCACTGTTATAGGTGAGTAGTTGAGAAGATAGGATATAGTGGGGAATTTAATTTATATGTCTGTATGCAACTTTTAATCATTGCTTATGGAAAACGATTCTGAGCAGAACTCGATCAATAGTATTGCTTTTTCAACAATGTGTGCTTTCACGACAACAACGATTGTTTAGGAAAAAAAATATCTAAAAAAGACGGGCATGCATCGCACGTGGGTGTAGGCACTGTTGTAGGTGGGAGGTTGGAAAGGTAGGCTTTAGACAGGAATTTAATGTCTCTATAAGCAAAGATAAACCATCTAACGAAAATACGACTTTGAGCCGAGTTAAGTTGATAATGTTGCTTTGACAACAATACAATATATGGTATTATGTCATATTACGGTAAAATTATTAGAACAATGTGAGTTTCCATGACAACAATGACTGTTTAAAAAAGATTGAAATAATAAAAACTTAATAATAACAAAAAATAAATAAAAATGGTTGCAATGATAACCTTATTTTTAATTTTTTGATCTTTTTTAACTTAAAGAACAAGGTTTTCCTCATTATTATCTCGAATATTCATGAAAATTTCAAAAAAATCACCTCTATAAAGTACTACTCAAGGAACATTTCCTTTCAGAAAAGCTGCAATACTTGATAACAATCGGAGTTAGCTTTCTGGTAGAAAAAGTGTTCACATAAATAAACGAATATCTTTGTAAAACCAATACATTTTTCGCTTAGCTCAGTATCGAAAATACAAATCATTATCCGTACACCCGATAACGTTGTCGTTGTTTCGTTCACGCGGACGCGATGATTGACAAGTCGCCGCGGCCGCCCTCCGACCGTCTACCGGGCCATTGTTGTTTGCTGCAAGGGCGGCCCCGCGGTCTAGACTGCCGCCGGTTAAACGGTCGTTTATCATTGGGAGAGCCGACAGCACCGAATCCGTCAACGCCGCCGCCGCCGCCGCCACTGCGATTTCCATCCGATTTGTCAGCCGGCAGCTCCGCGCTAAAACCCTACCCGTCATATTCGCGGTGCCATATTATATTTCACAGTATTATTATGTACGCGTCGTCGTGACGAGATCTGACAATTTTTTCTCCCAAACAAACATTGTATGGCATATGTTTGGAATTTTTTTTTCCAATTTCTATACTTAAAGGCGGGATCATACATGGGGCAGTACTCGGCCGAGTTACTAAAGCGAGGACTATCAATTTTTTACGTGGTTTACCTTATGCATCAAAGGAAGTTTTTCAGTCATGATTTATGGTTTAACTATATATTGATCGTGTTTTAAAATCCGTACGATTTACACAACATCATATCCATTACAGGTACATAAGTATGTCATTTATAATATATTTTATATGGACTTTAAATGAGTACATACGAGTACACTATAGTATAATATAGGGTGTTCGACAGTGTTATCCTTAAGCTAATAACTCCGTCAATATTCATTCTCTTTTTCAATCTGTTTTTTTCTAGGGGACACATACTTAGAGAAAAATTAAATTTTTATGTTCATAAAATATCCTTTAATCCTTTCATCCTTTAATCAATAAAAAAATTACATTTTATTTTTCCATTTGTCAAAATTTTCAAAATAACCATTTATAAAATATATTATTCTGAAAATTTTAATTTATTATACATTCATATTTGATAAATAATTTCTTAGTTATAGATAATCAATAGAAGATAAGGAATTACCGATCTGTTGTAATTCCTTATTACGTAACATGTTATTCTATTGAAAATGAATTGTTTTCACGCCAATTTTCTAAAAATTAAAACTGCTAATACTAAGAAATTGTTGATCGAATATGAATATATGTTCCATTAAATTTTCAGTATAATATCTTTTACAAAATGTCTATTTTGAAGATTTTGAAACGTGATAAAATAAAAAGTTTTTTTTGTTCATTAATTAAGGGATGAAAATAAAAATTTAATTTTTCTCTAAATATGTGTCACCCCCTCCACGTATAAAACCAGATTGAAAAAAATCTAAAAAAAATATATATTGAAAGAATTATTAACATAAGGATAAAACTGTAGGATACCTGTGTGTGTACATATAACCTTTATGATAATATAATAAGTACCCGTTTTCTATAGTAAAAAGTGCATAAAACACTAACCCATCTGAACATATTAACATAGTATAATTAAATAGATACATTAAGTCAAAAGTGTATTTGTTTAGTCGAAATAATTATATTTAAAACGTCGAGATACGAAAGTTTTATAACAATATTATTTCTCAGATACCCGCAAAAGTGTTATTTATTTAATATTAATTATATTCATTAATGATAATAATAGTTACTAATATTGTCGTTAATATTTTAAAAAACAAAAATTACGCTTAAAAATAATACTTTGTATCTCAGGTATGGAACTGTAGAAATAGATGGAAATTTGGGAAGGTATATGAGATAACTTGCTTCATATACTGAAAATAACAATAGAACACTGCAATCAATAAACGCATTTTTTTAGTGGACCTCAATAAACTGATATGGTCGTGGTTTTTCGGAAGTTGGAATTTTTTTAGCAATAATAGTTTTATTGCAACAATAATATTTCAATTCAAAATAATAATATAACCGATTATCATATATATTAGCGAAATGGGAAAATGTTTAATATCTTATAAAACCGGTTCATCTGTCATGAAAATGGGATGTCGGGAAAATGGAAATCAGCGACTTGGGAGACACGGTTTATTCCTCATGAAGCACGGTAATCTAGAAATCAACAAAACTAAAACTATCGAGTATCTTTTATTGTCCATTTTTTAAACTTTTTAGAAAACCTATTGACAATATAACGAATAAGTCATATGAAGTATAACCTGGTAAAAAATCCGTATCTTTTATCCTACAAACTGTAGATTTTGAAATATTATTAATAACCAAAAGAGTAATTTCCGAAGAAATAAAACCACATGCTTAATAAAAATAAAAGCTTTTTTTCTACACTCTAAATCTAAATTAAACAATTTATTAATAATCAGTGATGGAATAAAACGCGTTCATATTGTGTGAACTAGAAATAAAAAAGTTCAATTTTTAAGAAATGAACTTGAACGTGAATCAAGTTCTTATTTAATATGAAATAAAACGTTTTTGGTTCATTTATTGACAAATAAACTTTTATAAACCATAGTTATATTTATAACGTTTAATTTATACAACCCATTGGAGAATAAACTCAAGAAACTTTAAATTTCTTCCATAAACTTTTTTTTATCAAAGGAAAAGTCTTGTGTACAATTAAAATTCTATTACCAATGGTTGTGCAATCATTCGTTCTCTCTGTCTAGTATCTATAGCCATTGGTCAAGTTACCAATAATATGTTAAAATATATTACTAATCTGTTTTACAAATTATAACACAATATCAATATTATCCAATGACATCGTACAAACAAATTATCACGACCAATTTAAAACTGAAAATATCTCAACGGAAAAAAGACCAAGTCATCAAGTAATTTATAGATAAATTTGAACTAATTCTTTTTTCAAACTACGAACTAGAATTTGAACTAGTCCTAACTAGTTGAACAGTATCTCTACCTGTCCTAAAAGGCGACAAATGGGGTTGCGGCAAGTCGACAGCTGGTGTAAAATCTTGTCAAACAGTATGAACATTTCTAAAATCTTGATGGATTGTCCCATCTCGAAAACAGTTGATGAGAAGTACAAAAGTGAATGGTATTTTCAGATGATATTATTGCTTTGCTATGAGAAAAATTTGGATAAAGTTAACAATAGGCTGCTAAACTGCTTGAAGAATGGAGAGTAGCATCTGAAGGAAATGGACTAAGGAAGAAATATCTATGAGTAGAACTATGTAAAATATGAGTTAAGAAGAACAAACTAAGACAGCTAACGATAGCTAGAGGTGGCATAATAGCTGAGGTAGCCTTTGATGAGGAAAAACGTCAAACCGTAACATGTGGGGCTCCACAAGGGTCAGTTCTAGAGCCACTCTTATGGAACGTGATATACAACGATCTCCTCAGGGTAGATTTCAGAGAAACCACAAGGCTTTCGTCGTCAACATTTGTGGCCTTTGCAAATAATGTAGCAGTGGAAACAACAGGCCATATAACATCTATTCTAGAGGAAATTATGAATCGAATCTTAGAGTTAGTATCAAAATGGATGGAAGATAATGGACTTAAACTACCTAAGAGTTGAGAAAATTAGGGTTTTTGGATATAAAAACACCAGGAAACGGTGGTGGTGAAAGCATCCTTCACATCGTCAAGAATATTGTGCGCCGAAGACGAAACTAAAAGGGACAGAACCCTTCAACTGCTATAAACCAATTTTAATTATTTTTTTATTTTTTTCTCAATTAACGATGTGATGTGGAAACGAGGGGAAGGACTGCTCGCAAGAGCGAATTACCCCCTCGTAGCACCACCGATACCCCCGCAAAAAAAAATCTTATTATAAGTATTATAGTCTATTGTTTTGAACACGGTTAGAAACAGGGAATGTAGCACGCTCGTAAACTGGGTTAACTAATTTTACCAAAAATTGTCAAGGAATATATTTTATTTTTATTTTGGTATGTAATTTCTTTGGATGGAAATGGAAACAATTGTTTCACTCAAAAATCTAAAATAAATTTACCAGCCTCATCAACATCAATTTTAATCACATATTAGTAAAATTAAGTAAAAGTTTAAGCCAATTTTTAAAAATCTTCATGTAAAAAAATAAGAATAGGTGGTTAATTATAATCGCATACTTTTTTTGATAAAGGGTATATCACGCTTTCTTCTTAAGTATCGTTTTCACATTACACAATTGTTTTCTAATTAGGGAGTAAATCACATTCGACTTCCTTACGAAATTCAGTTTTGGATTTCTCAATCAGTTTTCATGATTAGGAAAAATTTGGAGTAAACACAATTAATAAAAGACAATTAAATCTGTAGATGGTAAATTGAGGAAGTAATTTTTCAATTTTCTTGGTAGTGTTCTTAAGAATGCAAAGACGAGTGGTCACCATTATATATAAATATTTTAAATAAACATAAAATCACTTATCATCTTTTAATGAGATGGGTAATACACATTATCAAATAACAATTGACCGTTACTCCCTGTCAAGGGAAATTATTATCACTTTACTTGCAATAATTATATAGCCACATATATTATTTTCAAAATTAAGTTAACAGTACATTTCGGAAAAAAGGGTAAGGAAGGGTAATCGCAATCACCCCCCCTGGATCTGCTACTGCCTGGTTGCGTCATTAATGATGCATTTCTATATTATATAAATTTGAAATTTTACACCACATTTCACACATTTTTCAGTATATCATCGAAATATTACCTACACTTACATTTACGGATTTAATATCAATAATCTATATGTATTACACTATATTACTTATTAGGTTTCTATGATTTGGCACTTTAGTAATTTTAAACATTTCCATAACCGTCATAATCCATCATCTGCATATATGACGCATACAGCTATAGTAATAAAATAATATTTGTTATTATTATTGATATTTTATTTCTCAATACTGGACGTGGTTGTCACATTTCCTGTTCCTTACGGTATAATGACGTCAAAAAACGATTTTCGGCACACATCGTTTTTCATGACCGCTCTCACCCTGCAGCACATCATTGATGATTTCAAAAATCGATTTCTCCGTATATTTTTAATATAAAAGGGATATATCTACAACATTTCTCAACGTTTTCCCATTTCCCTAAATCATTATCCGGGAGAAGGGCAAAATATAATTTAGAAAAACTATTTAATGGCATAGATATTTACTATAGGAGATAAAGTTCGATTAGTTCTATATTATTACAAGTATATAGGTATATAAATCTATAAAACCCCAAAAGATTAGATATTGGAAAATAACAGTTTGTATCTATATGTACCTATACAATAAGGCTAAAAAAATATATATTTACTAAAACATTTTTAAAAATGAGATTAAACTCGTTTATTTATTATAATATTCAATAAAATCCTAACCTAATCTAATCTAACCTTTATCGGGATTTTTAAAGCATAAAATGTGTGTAATGAACGTGTTTAGAAAAATCGCCTCGAATAACGAATATATTTGATTACAATAAAGAATATTAAATTTTAATCGCCAATATCGTTTTTGCTTTGTAAGCGTTAGTGGTACCCAGCCATTTTATCAAGTACTGCAATTTCATAAGTGCTCTCAAGAAGTCATTTTAATTATTATTTCAAGTTACAGATCATTATACAGTTAAAAATTTTATTAATCTTCAAACAACAATAATTAATGTTAAACTGTTTTGGGTGTAAACGTTAATAAAAATTAATTATTTAATAAAATAGTTTTGATAAGAACGTTGACATCCTCTTGGGTACAATAATTTTGTGCAGCGAAATGGGAACATTTTTTTTTACATATAAAAATGATGGATACTTTTAGATACTTTACTGGTATACTTTTGGTAACTGCATGCTCTCTCGAAATTCCTCCACGCGTCATTAGTAATAGTAAAGGGGTAAACTTATTTTTTATCGTAATAATATTACGTACCTACCTAAAATGAAAATAAACCCATACCGAAAGAAGGAGAAACCCGCATTTTCGATATTATAAAACACCATTACCGACTGCTGTAATATTTCATTATGGATACACGGTCGCAAAAGAGACGGTACTCGGGGAGGTGTGCAAACATTGTATAGGTATAATAATAACACTAACAGGTATATACATTACACATTAAGGCACATAGATTTTAGTTCGGTGCAGAATGTAATAATCGAATAATATTTTATACACACACTGCCATAGAGTCTGTATATGGATTGGCGTGCTGACGGTATGACGGCGATAGTGGTGGCGGACTCGTTCACGGGGGACTCGAGAATCGTTCACCCTCGGCGATTAATTTTACTTTTTTTCCCCTCCCCCCACCATTTTTATTCACATTCCACATCTCATATTTTTCCAGTCCTCCACCGTTGTATACTCGCGCGCTGCAGCACTGTCGTTCCGTCCAATAGTTTTGTAAATTAAATTTAAAAAACAAACACCGTTTCCCTCCGCCGTATATATACGTGCAGAATTGTACTAAAATATGAACGTCCGTGTTGAAAAAAAAAACCTGATGGCTAAACTGCGTTTTACATTGAAACGTATTATATAGGTACGTGTTCGACGTTATCCTTTCGAAAATAATAAAATCCTTTCTTTTTTTTTTCACGGGGTAAAAACCATTGTTAATCAGTCCGCGGATTGTTGACAAATCATCCGAAAAAAAAACTATACACATTAATAAACTTGTTTTTTTTTTTTTTTTATATTATACTTACGACTTAAAATCCGATAAAACTTCTTAACTCTGAATAATTTGTAAATAAAATTAATTTTAATATTACTATCCAAATGTAAATACGAATATGGAATAAAACTTATGAAAAAAAAATTTAAAAAACAAAAAACCGTTATTTCCGTCACTACAACCATTAAATCATTCACCCTTGTGATATTCATATTTTTTTTTAAATCGTTGGTTTTTATTATACGTTATGCTAATTTTACCGTATCCGGCCGTCCGTCGTCGTCATCGTCACCGTGTCTCGTGACGCACGCATTCGACGCAAACCTTCGAATCCATCATCATTTTCTACTAGCAACCAAAGGCTACCGCTCGCACGCGTGCATAATAATAATAATAATATACAATTACACTACACGAACTTGTCGATTATATAGGTACACCCCTTCGCTTCTTTGCAAGCAGTAAAAGCAATTAAATTAGTGTACCTATAGATACTGTGTTATTTCAAGGCGTAACATTATAAAAGAAAAATCAAAAAAAAAATATACGTGAAATATAATAAAACGTCACGAATATATTGACGGTAAATAAAATATTTTATGTTAACGGCGCTGTATAATATCATCAGTAAACGTATGGTATGTTTTGTATGCCGTCATAGGACACATACGGACTCCGAACATATTTTAAGGAATTTAAACTACAGGGTAACACTGTAATAATATTAAGGAATAGACGTATAGTGCATATCAACATACGTTTAAGTGTGCTCCTCTCTCCTCTCCTGTATAAAAGATGTTTGATTCGCTTGCACTGCTTATTTATAGTGCTAATCGATTATTTCGATAGCGCAAACAAACACGTGGACCAATATTGAATTAATGGAATAAATAAATAGCTGTTATCAGGAATCAAGGACCTTGAAATTTAAAATTTACGAATGTTCGTTGATTCGAGCAAGAGTGGCCTAACGTAAAAAAAATGTAAAACGTATTTGCAAATATTATGGTTAATAAATTTAAATTCTCAATGAATTTAACCAACTGGGCTGGGGCTTTGGACCTTGGCACGTCCATATCCACAAAAGACGATAATTCTTCACTAAATGACATTATAGGTGCCACCTATTATCTATTTATTATGATAAAATATACTCTGTACAGTATAGAAAAACACATATGTCATGAAACGGATATTGTACCTACCATCACATTAAAACGAGAGAAAAAACCGACACATAACACTATTACGCTGTTTGACATTTTATATCACCTATAAAATATTACCTATTACGCGTATCTACGAGTATATCCATTCAAAGACATAAAAAACATATTATTCTTTCTTTTAGTTTAGCAGATATAATTCGTTGTCAGAAAGTGGATTTGCGACTTTAAAGTGAAGATCCGACAATAATATAGGTACTGTAGGTGCGTTATACTATTTATACTTGTACATTATTTTATACTGGGCGTATGCCGTATATCGCAGGAAATACGTCATTACCGACAGGAGAATAAGAAAGTAAAATAAAAAGAAACGTGCGAAGATAGCAACGCATGGTATGTACATAATATTTGTAGAGGGGTGTGTTTTACTTGTAAGAAGGTGAAGTATAAAGGAGTATATATTATTATAGTCGTTACGTAAAATTGCGAAAGTGTACGTAATGTTATTAAGACACGCGAAATATTAAAAAAACAACACGTTTTATATTATAAATATACATATATATAAAGATGCAATAAAGACCGCCTTGTACTACATGGCTATTACGATTTAAAATAATGGTTTTTAATATCACGGTATTGTGAATTTAATTTTGATTTTATTCTTTCAGTACACTATTAATTTCTATAATTCAAAAAACTGTATAATAA